AGGTTCAAAATGCGTTGTATGAACAAGAGGCCAAAAATCCAGTAGAAGCAGTGGTAATGCAAAGCCCACAACGAAATGTGGAAACGCTCCCATCCGAAGAAAACTCAGGTTCGGCTGAGAAGCAGGCGTGGGTTAAAGCCCCAGTAAAGCAGATGCTTACGTTAATCGAGGAGCTACGGCCTAAAGTGGGGAAGAGCGCATCCGTTAAAAATAAAACTAAAATGTGGAAACTTATAACTGAGCGTATGGCAGAGCCAGGGTATATCTTCACAACAGCGCAGATTGAAAATAAATTTCGAACAATGGAGCGCAATTTCAAGAAGACGAATCTGCACAACAAACAAACAGGCAGAAATAGGCTGAGTATTAATGCTTATTTTGCTTGACGAGAGCCTCTAGCAACTCCAACTTCTTTCGTGCCATCTCTTCCTTCCTCTGTGCCACTGCTTCTACTGGATTTTGGGCCACTTGTTCATACAACGCATTTTGAACCTCTTGTGCATCCACTGAATTCTGAGCCTCTTGAACTTGGCCCATTAGCTGCGTTGAGAAGATTACTTCATTATAGTCTTTCCAATTTTCCAGCACTTGGGTAATCTTAGTGTACTTATAATATTCTTACTATTAGGGATGTGCCGGGTATCCGGTAGATATCCGGAATCCGGCCGTTTTTTGGTTATCCGGTTATCCGGCCGGATAATGGCTAATATCCGGCCGGATTCCGGATATCGATTATAGAAGATTCAATTTAGAAATTTAACCCAGATTTTGTATTTTTGTAATCTAATTTAAAAGTGTCTAATTAGTAATCAAAGTTAACAATCTGTATATTTTTCATTACGAAAAGAAGCATTCCCGCATTATCGGGCAACAACCTATTTCTCTTTTCAACATAAATGTTACCCGATGCACTAAATACTCTTTCCGAGTTCACTGAGGAAGGTGGCGCGCAGAAATACTTCATTGCCAGTGTAAACAAATTTGGAAATTCTTTGCGGCTATACTTCCACCAAGTTAAGGGATCTTCTTGTCTGGATATAAGAGGTAGCTGAAAATATTTCTCTATTTCTAGTTCATAAATCGCTGCCTTTTTACAACGCTTTTATCAACTTGCAATGTTGTGTTCCAGAAACTTTCAATGTTGTGTTCCAGAAGCTTTCAATGTTGTGTGTCCGACACCATAAAGAAAAGCTTTGAAAAGCTCCTATAAAAAAGCATAGTGAATAGGGCGAGGTAGATGACATCTAGATGTCGCCCTATGTACTACGTTTGCTACACCGGAAATAGACGACACGCCATTCTTTAAATAAAATTAATTGGTGCTCGTTTGTATGTACATACATATGTAAATGCATGTGTGTGCACCTTTCTATTAATATCGTTGAATTATTTTAATATCTATTGCAAACTTTTATTCAGACAGGACTAAAAAGTAGGAAATAAATAATATAAAAAAAA